TTATTATTATTATTATTATTATTATTATTATTATTATTATTATTATTATTATTATTATTATTATTATTATTATTATTATTATTATTATTATTATTATTTTGGTGAAACTGCCTCTCCCTATCCAGGATAAGTATATTCCAATATCTTCAATTGCTGAATGTCATGTTACAGATAAACGGAAGGAAGCCAAGCATGCCGCTCTCTTATTTGGCACTAAATTAAAAAAAAAAAAACTCCCCCAATTTATCCCTGGGTTCAGGTTTTGATGAAAAGGTTACAAAGACATTTTGCATTTGGGGGGGGGGGGGTCATTTGAAGCAAAAAAAAAAGTGGTTTTTTTAATCCAGAGCTACAAATATTCTCTTCTGTTAACAAGGTAGCCCATTTTCCTCAAAATTTTTTGAAAAGTATTAAATATTACAAAAACTGTCAGTACTACTGCTACTTGGTCCTTTAGGCAAGAAAGACCTCCTAACCATAATCATGGTTAATCATACTTCCATTTGCAAGTATTTGTATTTTGTTATTTTCTTGGATGTTTCTCTTCTGCTGTCTCCAGGTACTGCAATATCCACTATTTTTGTCTTTCGTACTGATAATAATTAAGCCTAGGGTATTATGTGGCAGGTGCTTGTCTGTTTGAATTCTATAGCTGTAGCTTCTTCTTTGTCTATTTCACCAGTTCTTGGTTGGAAGCAAATGGTATTGCAGATATTCTAATGTACCATTGCTGCTACTTTGTTATGCCATTGTTTGTAGTCAGTCTTGCAGCAGCTAACTAGAGTTTAATTGTTAACTGTTTCCTCTGCCACTTTGCAGAGATGACATTTTACTGTTACTGTGTCCTCAATTTTGGTTTTTCCCACAAAGCCGTGGACGAGCGCTGGACCTCTCGTTTCCTATCAACACCGACCAAGAGCAGCCACAGAGAAAGCAAGTGAACCAGGCTCCCCCACCCATTCCCAATTCTTAAAGCTGCTCCAGAAGGATATCATGATCGATGATATCAAACGCCGCCAAGAGGCTGAGTATAGCAAGAATGGATGCACTACCCTCATGCCACTCCCATCTTGCCATGTCTCTTTTATTTGGTCTTTCTTGTAGGCCAGTTTGGTCTCTCCATTAGTAAGCTTTCATGGTATACTAACTTAAGTGCACCTTTACTGTCCTTCAGATGCCCCTTTTTTTTCAGCTCTGATGCACTTGCAACATTCCATTCCTACCTATTTTCCTTGATAAGTAGAGTCTGTCAGCATCATTGCATAGATGAAGGGCGTGATTGCTGGTGGGGAGGTCTTTTTGTTCCCTTTTTGGCTTGGTGATTGTCTCATTTGCATAGTATGTAGATATTGTTTATGTCTGTTGGTAGCTAATTTGTCCAACTTCCAGGCTTCTTTTGGACCTGGCTCAGTCTATAATGGTCAGTTTCCCCATTGAAACTATGATTAAGGCTGTCCGTATGTTGTGAAATTAAAAATTAATTAAATTAAATTTACTGCTAATGCGAATAGTTGCATTTGCCAGAACTTTGGAATAAACCGACTACCACATTTAAATAAACCAAAGGTGAGTTTGAAAAAGTGATAAATATGTTATGATTTTAGGATAAAATTAAGTTACCTTTTTCATGCTAATTGGCCATCCATTTTATTATGCTGGAACAGTAAAATGATGGAAAGCACATTTATTTGTTCTATAATCTTGTTTTGGTTGAATATTTATTACTGGTTTAGGAAAGAACATGGTTTAAAGAAATCAAAGTGATTTTGAATTATATTCATAATTACTTAACTATGAATATTTGGAATTTATCATTTGTACTTTTCTATAATGAAAAAATAGTACCAACCTGGATTCAGAATTGCTTCTATACTGATATAAGGTAAAGATGGATCAATATTATTCTATGGGATAAAGCTTTAATTCTGTATTTAAAGATCAAGCTCATTTTTATATGCATTAAATATTTTTGCTCTTGCTTTTGGATTTTTCTCCCTTTTTCTTTGTATGCTAAAACAATATTTTAAACAAATCTTAAAGAATGATGTTTCTTGAAACAGTGGCAGTAATCAAATGCATAATAGGATTTGGAAACACTAACCTTTAGATCAGAAATTAAAGAAAAAACTTCATGGTTTACTCATAACACAGTAATCTAATCTTATATGCATAATTTGTTTTCAATAATCAGCATTATTTGTACTGTGCTGTTTTATGTAGTAAATTTAAACATTGCAACATTTGATTATTGTGATCAAGATAAGCCACTCTAAGCCTCTGGCTAGGTTTTTTTAAACTTCATTTGTATTCTCTCCCCCTCCAATCGGCAAATATTTTTGGGTAGTAATCTGGGAGGTTTTCCTGACTGCTGGACTGTAATGGTTAATTTATACGTAGTTATTTAATATGATTGACAAATGTATACTTTGCTCTTTAAAACTTGGTTAAAATGGGGAAAGAGATACTTTTGTGGATATTTTTTTAAAATATTGTTTGAATAAAAACAAAACAATGAGTTGAATCACATTGTGCCATTCTGTACAGAGAAGAGCCACTGATCCCAAACCTTGCTGGTGGAAAAGGATTTCTGATCATTCTTTGTTTTTCTTTATCTTTTCCTTGATCAAAATAATCCATGTTGTGGAAGGAAGTACATTGGTATCAATAAGGCAAAATTTGAAAAAAAAACAAAAAACCTTTTCCTCTCAGAAGATTCTGCAAGACTGTAAAAAGAAAACGAACTTGGATACAGCTTCATTCATTCATTCATTCAAGACAGAAGACTACCAGAAAATCCCAGAAGCATAGGTTACATTAAGAAAAGGAAAACATTCTGGAACACAAACCACTTCCCTATTATTGTCAAGGCAACTATATGGACATAATAATCAGGAATGGTACTTGATTCATAGAAATCCTTACCACCTGCACACCTTTTATAAATATTTATGTACTTCAAGTTGAAGTAAAGTAGTAATGGGTCAGGTTCTGCTAACTTTAAAATTAATTAGATGTCTTAATTAAATATATCTGATTTATATTGGTTGAATTCATTTTTATCTTGCCAGTTACATAAATACTGGGATAGGAAAAAATTGGAATAACTATAGTACCTCTGAGTTTGTGAATGAACTAGTACAATTTTATCATACCCCAATAATATAAATTGGACGATTGTAGACGATTGTATGTAATTCTTATACTTTTCATAGTGCTGAATTTTTTAAAGAAAGGAAAGTAATGTATTGTAATGTTTTATTGTTATGGTTCAGCCCTTAAATCAATAATTGCATTCCTCATTATTGATTTATACATTTAAAAGAAATAGCTAAAACATAAATAATGTGTATTTTACATGCCATTTTTTAAAGCTCTATGAGTAAAATTTTAGTAAACAGATCAATTAGGGTAACACAAAAGAAAAACAGGAATTTTTAAGTACAGTGGTATCTCAGAACATAACTGCTTTGAAACTTGTCAAATTTGGTACTTGAGGCATTTTGATGAGAAAAGTTTCTTCTGGCATTTTATTTTGACACATCATTTGTTTGGTACTGGACACAGGAGCTAAAGGTTATCTATATCAATTGCCTCCCTTTCCAGCTCATCAAAGGATCACACATCAGTAGCTCTTGCCCTTTGTACATGCCCTTGCAATCTTAGCTTAACTTCTGTGGTCATTTTGTGTATGCCCTTTTTTTCCTCATCAGTTTAGAAGTTTTTGTTTTATTTAATCTAAATATTAACTTTTAGGTTTTTTCTCATGAAAAGTAATGATATACAACCCTTTTTTATACATATTGCCTTAAAAATGTGCATTGTCCTTGGTTTGGGAACACATTTACATTGTTCCTTATGGGGAAATTGTGTTTGGTACTCATTTTTGATACTTGTCATGCCTCCCAAAACTAATTAATGAGTACCAAGGTACCACTGTATAAGATACTGGTAATTAAATTTTTTAAAGACTATTAGCCAGATAAATATTATCCCTTTGTATTTAACTGTTTTTAATTTTTTTCTTTGCAAGTCATACTAATTATACAGTTTTGTAATTGTAGGTTATCAGTTTCAGCAGAATGCTTATGTCATATAGTTTAAAATACTTGGATTTAAATTCAAACCATTACATTTAACTGAACTAAGTTAATTTCAAGCTCAAAACAGTTTTTATAAGTAAAATAATGTTTAAATAGTTTCAAAAATGTGCAAGTAATTCATAAAGACATTTCCAAGATAATTACAATCAAGGTGTCTTTTAAATCAAAATTTATATATAGCATTGGAATCTTTGAAACTAAAAAATTATAACTGAAACCATGTAATACTGTCTTTGGAACCATGTAATACTGTCTGGCTATACACATTTCTTAGCAAAGATATTACAATGTTTATTAACTGCATACTCAACAGAATATTACTTTTAATAATGGACATCATTCCAGAGCAAAAAGATTCATATTTAATAGAGTACATTGGATATTTCTACCTTAATTTGCAAGAGGTTTAGTGAGTAACACAGTGCCAGGAGCAGCTGCAGGTTTTTTTTTTTTTGTACATAAAATGAATATTAGATAAGTTGGCTGCCTTTGAAAAGTTAACAGAAATATTAAAAATAGTATCAAATAGTACTTTTGGCCAGGTTCTCTATTCAGAAAAAATACACAAATTTTAATTGAAGTTTTGCCTAAAGACAGTGCAATAATAAGCCCTTTGTAAGCCAGTTCACCACCAAGTAACTTTGTGTGCTAGAATAACAGAACATCTTACACTCTAGAGATTTTAGCTTTGCAGATGTACTTAGAGTCAAACCCCTTCAGTGTTTTTGTCTTCACTGTTTGAAGCCCAAAAAATCTCTGCAAATAGCTCTTACAATATTAGGCACGATCTGCTCCAGTCCAGTAAATTCTTTTGTGAAGAAAGTATGTGTTTCCTTAGGTTCAGATGCCATATCTCTTAAATCCTCTAGTGGAGCCCAAGCAATGCCGACAGAGAATATGTTGATACCTTTAAAAATTATTGAGAAGAAAAGGAACATTGTTGAGAGTCTGCTTAAAGTTCATGTAGAAAAAGATTTGACATGCTTAATATCTATACCAACAGAACATGGCATTGTCTGAGATAAAGAGCTAATGAATAGAGTACTAGACTTCTGGCTGTTTGCTAAGGGATTGTGCTATTTGAATTCCAGAGGATAATGAATAGTAGATTCTAGCAAGAAGATTGCAGAATTTTGCTAAAATAGGAGAAAAAACACTTTATTGTTTTCATCAGTCCAAATCATGAGTTTTTCCAACTGCTATAATACAAATGATCCATCCCCATCAACCCTACTTAACACTTTTATCTTAATTATTGCCATTTTTGTTTCAATTTTTCTAAAGTTTTCTTTTAGGATTCTTTAACGACAAAACTCTTGTTTTTCTGCATTATTTGCTTTACATTTGGGAAGGAGTTAATTTGGAATTTGCACATTGCATCTTTAACTACTGTCCAGTTTAAGAAAATCCAGTCTGGAATGAGATAAGCATCTTGCAAGATATTCACTTCAAAGTACAGATTTCTGCACCTCCCACTTTAAGACAATTCCTCTACTGGCGTGTCCTTCCAACTTTCTGTTCCAGTCTTTCTGGACACAAACAAGAAAACATGTCCAGAAATAACTTTCACAGTGAATGGAGTGAGAATAAGGGTAACGTTATCTATTTCTACCTACTAATTTTACTGGCTACTAGCCCACCTGGCAATGGAGCAACAGGATACACTCGCACTTTATCATAAAGTGTTTCAGATGCGTTTATATCATCAGGAATTACTGCGGATAAGTGAACTGTGGGAAAGCAGGAGTACTATAGAGAAAATCTGAAATCAAACTACTTATACAACCACTTTCCCCATGTCTACCATGTAATTGAACTACATGCAAGATTCCTGAAGAATTTCATTAACATGATAAACACCAATTTTTCTATATGTGTAGGGGTGTGTGTGTGTATGTATGTATGTGTGGATCTTTGGTTATTCGGGTTGTGTGCTTCTCAGAGCCGAAGACACAAGCCTGAAGATAATGAATGAGACTTCATCGAAACGTTGCCTATATACTTCCAATTTTACACGGGAGAAAACCCAAATAACCAAAGATCCACATACAAATACCCACGAGAACCTCAGAAAACAAATTATATATACATATATATATA